CCCTGCTGTTTCTTTGTGGCCATGCTGGCCCCTCTGGGTAAGTGAACTCTACTCAGCCCTGAGCATGTCCATCAATCCCACGGCTGCTCTCCCAGCTTTGTAGCCAGTTCCTGGCAGTGCTTCATTCTGCAGAGCTTCCTGTGTTGAGGACAAGCTGTGAACGTGGGATTCAGGAATCCGTGAATCTTCTGCAATGGCCATGTATTTGTCATTCTTTGTGCAGCCTGGAGATGGTGTCTGGATTGGACTCAAACTGCCCAGGAATGCATTTTGCCTGTTGAAGCGAGATTGGAAATTCATTTGCTGACCTGAAGAGCTGTCCAAGGACTTGAACTGCTTCCTTGGCTGCCCTATGTCTTTCCACCCTTTCCCTGCCAACCCACAGTGCCTAGTTCAAATTTTTCCCATTTTTTCCTTCTCCTCACTGCTCCATCTTTCTCTTTCCAGTGTTAGCCCTGGTACAGTCTCCAGACCTGGTGATAAAAGAAGGCCAGTCCGTGAATCTGGAATGTTCCAAGAAGAAATCCAGCAGCACAGCTATGTACTGGTTCATGCTGCTTTCAGAGAAGAATTCCAGGCTGACCCGGCTGGCCTCTGCAATAGAAAGTGGTAACCCTGCAGTGGAGAAGGGTTTTGAGGGCCATTTCAAGAGCAGCAAGATCAAAGGAGACAGTATCACCCTTTCAATAGAAGAAGTCTTTCTTAATGACTCTGGCACATATTACTGTGCAGAAGATGAGCACAGTGGTGAAGCTGTTGAGGGAGCTGAGCACAAACGTCTCCCTGCACAAACAGGACCTGCTTTGCACATTGTGGGTGCAGCAGGATTCAGGCACATATTTCTGGACTGAACAAGATCCACAGTGACTCAAAGGCTGGTGCAGCATAGCACAGACCTTTCCAGGTAAACAGGGATCTGCCACCAGCACACACTGAGCCTGGTGTTTGACACGACCCTGTTTTCTTCACTTGCTGTCCAGCTCGTCAGGAAAGACAGTGTACATATGTCTGTCTTTACATTTGTCTGTCTTCTGCATGGTTTCTAACTGCTTTCCTATTCTTTCCCATCTCTGAATCATGTTTTGACTGTCATTTCTTCTTGTCCTCACTGTCTCACCTCATTTCTCTGCCAGGTGAGACTGCTTCTCACCTTCCTCCTTTCATGTCTTTCTGTCTGTCCCTCTTAACCTTCCTTTCTGTCCTCTTACACGTATTCCTTTCCTATTTCCTATTCCCTTCCTCTCCTTCCTTTCTGTCTGCGATATCAGTTCATGGCAGGTTGGGCAGGATGTAGAATAGTTCACACAGCCCTTTCTTTCTCTATCACCTGGAGACACAAGGACCACAGGTCCTTGGCCCCAGCTGTCTCCAGGGAATGGGCACAATGCTGTGCCCCAGGGGCCCCAAGCAAAGAGCCCCAGGCAGCAGCAGATACTCATGGCTACCATCACTCCCTGAGACTTTTATTCTGCCCTCCTGCAACTTTAATTTCTTGTCTTCCTTTTACTTTGTGTTCTTTTCCAGATTTTTTTACCTTTTTATCTTCCTTCCTTCCTTTCTTCTTTCCTGCTTTCTTCTTTGCCTTCCTCCCTTTCTGGCTCCTGTTCCCGCTTCCCTCCCAGCATTCTTCCTGCACCTTTTCTGTCTGCTCACTTCCCACCTTCCTCTCTCCTAGCCTTCTTTTCTCCTTGGGATTTGGGAAACCACAGCCTCATTCTGGGGCTCTGCAAACACAGAACATGATATCCCAATCAGCCTCCTGGCAAGGACCAACTCTTCAACATGGCAGATCCAAAGTCTCTATGGAATGCCCTGCCTCCTGCTGACCTCCTGGCAAAACATCACCCTCATCCCTCTTCCATTCCTCATGCAGTTGTATAAGCAGGCTCAAAGAAAGGATAACATGCTGCAGCTGCTAGTGTTCCCAGAAGAAGGGGGACAGGCAATGTTTGAGGATGCATTTCAGAATCACTTCAAGAACTGATGAAATACGGGCTATTGCTTGTGAAGAACAGAGATGATGTTCTGCCTCAGAAACAAGAGCAAGTAACCGACTGAAAGACTCCTGATGATGAGTCTGCAAAGTGTTCTGAAACCCTGTCAATTGAGAGGCACTACAGATAATTAATATTTTCCCTTGAGTCATGTTCACTACTGCTGTGGTCCATATCACAGCCTGTAGAAATTCACAGATAAACAGTGCACGATATAGGGGTGCCTGAAAGTCTTTATTAATTTTTCATAACTTTTACTTGTCCAGATCCAAAAGAACAGAAATGATGATGAGAAAATACAGGTCACACCAAAAGAGCATCTCAGTTGGAGGCCATGGTGGATTGGATCCAGGAGACGTAGTTGCAAACCTTGGTGTAAACTCCGGGATAGCCCTTCTCAGCACATCCAATACCCCAGGAAACAATGCCCTGGAGCTCTCCATTGCAGACCACGGGACCGCCGGAATCTCCCTGTGCACACAAAGGGTATGGATATTTAGCAAATGGCATCAGCCTAAGCAATGAGCCAGAGATGCCTGAGCTCACTGTTTTGGGAGGAAGCCCTGTCAGGCATACTCTGCACAAAAGTTCTACAAAGGCTCTTTGTGATTTGCACTTTCCTCCTGATGCTGCCATGCCTGACTTGAGCTCCAAGGGCACCACAGCTAAGGATGAGTCAGCTGCCCACTTTTGCCGGATATGGTACTTGGCAAACATTCAGGATATGTGTGCCCATAGCTTCTGCTGTCATTGAAAAACTCAGATGTGAGTGTACCTTTTCCTTCATCTGGGTAAAGGCAGGAGAGAAATGACTGTGAAAGGAGAGGCAGATGATTTACCTGGCAGGAGTCTTTTCCTCCCTCCAGGAATCCTACACACATCATGTTCTCAGTGATTTGCCCGGGGTAGGCATCGGAGCACTCGGCAGCAGAGAGGACCGGAGCGTCCAGGCACTGCAATTCGTCCGGGTCGTGAACTGCAAGGAAATAGGGAGAGATGGTTGATGGCTTGCTGAGTCCTTTTCAGCACTTGGAGATAATCTTAGCAGAAAAGCAAATGTTTGGCCCCCTGTTCTAGCAGCCATCCTGCATCCTCTCAACTTTAAACACAGAACGGGTTCATTCTGTAGAGATGGAACAAATTCTTCCCGTGGGCCCACCTTCTACACTGCAGTCACCTTAAATTTTCTGCTCCCTGGAATTTCATCAATTGGCAAGAATGGAGCCACTCTTGTGATATATGCACTGGAAGAAACTTGAGCCTCAGGAAAACAGTCTTCTGCTCTTGTGCAGGTATAGATGTGATCAGTGGAATAATCACCACTCGCCATGCACGTCTCTGGCCATGGGTGTGAGAGAATGGAGGTCTCTCGTAGGAATTCTAGAGCCACAGTCCTGGACTTCACCCTTCTTCTCAGAGAACTGACAATTCTATTGACATTATGCATGCACTGTGCAGTCCCTAGACTGACCCATTGCTCAAAACACCTGTCCCACAACACTTCCCTATGTTTTAGCCTGTCCTGTTGGGGCTTGATGGTGAGGTCTTAGAGTCTGTCCTGGGCCCCCAAGGGTCTGTACATTCCCCAAGAGTACTCACTGCCATCACTGAGAGTGTTGCCCCAGCCGGAAATCAGGCAGGTGGTGCCGGTGGCCACGCAGCTGGTAGGCAGAGGAACTGTTTGGACAGCGTTGTTGAGCTGGGCTGGGGTGGCCAGCTTGATGAGCATGATGTCATTGTCCAGAGTGTAGTAGTCGAAGCCAGGGTGGAGGATGACTTTAGCAGAGTTGATGAACTGCTGAGTGGATTCATTGAGTTTCAAGTTGTGTTTCCCCAGCTGCACTTGGATGCGACTGGAAAAGAGAAGGCAAAGGTGTGTCTTTTACTGCTTCTGGCAGCTTGAGAGAAACCTCCCTGTCAGTGAATGCACTCGCTCCAACATCACTGCCACAGAAGCCTTCTGGGGCAGGGGATCTTTTGTGTCCTGCAGGGAGCCCTGGGGATCCACACCGAGATCTTAACCCACTCCCAGTCCAGGTGGTGAATTTCTGCAGGTTTGTAAATACATGACAGCAGTTGAATACATAGCAGCCCCCTTTCTACAAATGTTCTGGGACAAGGGAAACTCTTCTGGCCTGACCTCATACCTCTTCCTGTTCTCCAGGGACAACGCTTTAGCAAGATTCATGCAATGGATAAGAAATCACAGCCTGGAACTGGTTACTTGACTATCCCATTGTTATGTCAGAAAGTGCTCTGCTTTCACAGAAACATTTGCAGAAGTGGAAAACCCAACAGCATGCCTCGGCCCTGCTTCCTAAATGGTCCACTCATGCCTTGGCCGTCTGTGGTCAGGATGGAGGCAGTTACATATTTCTGTCTCAGAGCTCAGAATTCCTGCTAGAAGGGAACTGGAAGACAGATGGGGCTTATAGAAGGATGTACTTTTTCCACTCACGATTTGTAGCAGTGAGCAGCCGACAGGACCCACTGGCTGCTGATGAGGGAACCTCCACAGAAGTGATATCCAATAGTATTCAGAGACACCTGATAGGGCACAGAGTGTTCTGCACAGGTGTAGCCTCCCACAATCTTGTCATCATCATCTTCAGCAAAGGTGGGGAAGGCAACTGGGAGACAAGAAATGCCATGTGTCAATAGCTGGCCTAAGGTAATGTGGCCTGTAATCTGCCCTGTGACTGCCTGTCTGAACCCCCTCACTTGTAGGCTCCCCTTCTACGGGCACTCAGGGCAGCAGTGGTGGGCAGGTCTAAGGCACATTCATTTGCTGCACCCTTAAAGAAGGGGATCACACCTGCTTTGGTGCCTCACATCTGTGCAGCTAAAGCCTTGCAGGCTACTCCCTGAGGGAACATAAGGACTTAGAAATGTTCTTGTTGGATCGGATCACGGGCGTGTCTTTCCGAGGGTCCTGTCTATGAAACAGTCAAGGGTTGACGGAGGGAAAAGGTCAAAACAGGTGTGCAGTGCTATTTTCTTGGAGCACCAACCCAGGGTCCAAAATTTTGCCTTTGCTTTTTGACTTCCTGGGCCAGAACTATTCCCTGTGCACTCCTTAGTCCTGAAGAAGGAGGCAGCCGATTTCTGAAGCTATGGCCACACCTCTACAGCTGGGTCAGGAACTCCATGCCAATGAAGGTGTTCATTCGAGGCACAAGGCATTATGAAGAGACAGAAGATGGAAGTTGCAGGGCTCTGCCTTCTGCAAGTCAAAACTGGACTTGTCTTTCCCACAATAGGCTACCTTGCAGTTTTGCTCAGAAAATCAGCTTCCTACTAAATGGCAGAAATAGAAAGAAAAAATATACTCACCAGCCACCCCAATAAAGGCGAGAAGCAGCAGGCACTTCATGGTCTTGGTTCAGCCTCAAGCCCAGACTGGCTGACTGGATGTGGGAGCTGCTAGAAATACAGTTTTGGTAGTGGTCTTATCTCTAGTCCAAGGTTTTCTCCAGAGAAAAGTACACAGCTGAAAATTTGAAGATCCAAATGTGGGCATTATAATTATGTNGGGACCTTCCGCGCTGGCCCGAGGAAATGCCTCGGGGTCGGTGCCGTGTCCGTCGGCTCCAGCGGCCTGAGCCGCGCCAAAGTCCTGCAGTCCTTGCGGGACCCAAATTTACTCACCTTGAACCTTTTGAGTCTTGTGTTCGCAGGAGCTGACAACCAGCCGCAAAAAGATAGTAACTTTGAGTTCCCTGAACCTCCCAGAATTCATGAACTACTGTTCCAACAACCAAAAATCATCCTAAAACGAGTCTACATCCTATCCATCCTTAGTGAAACCTCCATAAACTTCCTCATTCAACACAATCCAGTCAAAAACCCGACAAACAACAACAGCAGCCATGTAAACTTTATAAATCCCTCAAAAGCCCCTCAATTATATCTGAAGAGAAAATCCAATGGAAAAAAAAAAAAAAAATGGGATAAGAAGGGGGGATCAAAGGATCATAAATTGCATTGTGCATTGTTAATTGATCTGTAAAAAGTTTATGGATTTTGCATAGTAAAATTGAGTAGAGTGTCACTGAGTATAAATCTGAGTGTACTTAATGTGAGTTTTATCACTTTAGTGTTCTCTTAAACTACTCTGTTGACATGTTAGACTGTCAGTTTAAACAGACTAACAGTGTTTTGTATAGTGTGTGTACTAATTCACTGAATTAGAAATATTGGACTCAACGATCAAGTCCTTGCAAGGAAAACAATTCTTAAACATCAAAACGTAAACCAAAATTCTAAATCAACATCCATTCCAAGTTCTAGTAAAGAAACCTCCTGAGCTGTGTTTGTTCTCTGTCCTACAAGGGCCCAGTAGGATGTGACAAACACTGCTTTTTTATTTTTTCTAACAAAAAGGGTGAATTCTGGATGCTAGCTTTGGAGCAGGCTGCAGAGAGCTGCAGAAACTGCAGGCCCATGGCCTATCAGCCCTGCCTGAGAAGCTAGCTGAGAAATTCATAGGAGGATTTCAAAACAATCCTCAGAGACAGAAAACAACTGCCAGGTGCTGTTTGTCTGTCCTCTTGTTTTCCTTGCAGGAGAACGTCAGGGGGGTAGTGTGCCCCACTGGCCAATGATGGTGATGTAGCACTTTGCTAACCAATAAGAGTTTCTTTTCTGTACTTTTCCACGTATCTGTCTATAAGACAAGCCTAGAGCAATAAACTAGAGAGATTCTGCTGTTTTGACTCCTTTGAGAGTCTGTGTTGTTCTTTATCGCCGTTCCCAAACAGAACGACACACAAACAACTGAGGGCGCAGTGGAGAGGCTGCAGTGGCCTGGGTCTCCTCAGCCTGTGAGCAGAGCAGCAGGGAGGTGTCACTGGCAGAGCTTGAGTGAATGAAATTGCACTGCAGTGCTGCTTTCCAGACACCAGTGCTCTCCCTGGCTGCATCCCAGTGGCCGCCTCCACACCCCACCGGAGAACCAGTCCTGTCAGGAAAGCAAATCTCCGTGTAGAGGTTAATTCTCAGGACAGACACAGGGGCAATGACACAGATGCTCTCTGTCCCTGAGGAGCAATCCCTGAATTTGCCAGAAGTGTGTGCCTGAAGTTGAACCTCCAGAAGCCCTTGTGCCACAGGCAGCACCAGTCAGGGACAGCCTGGGCTCCCCAGCTAGGCCCCAGGCCCCAGGGAGAAGCCATCTCTGGAGGTACTTTGCCTATTTCCTGTCCCCATGGAGAGGTTACCCTGATACCCATCCTCAGCACCTTGTCACCCTCATGGCTGTCCCTGCGGGCCACACTCCATCCCTTCTCTCTTCCCATGCTAGGGCATTGACTGTCCCTCAGCTCTGCACAGCTATTTACCTTCCTCTCCTACCGCTCTCACTGCAACGTCCATGAGAGCCCTCACAGGCCCGGGTGCTTGGGATGCTGTGGTGTCTGTCGGGGGCCTGCCTCCCTCTCACTGATGTTATTTGTGTGCTCACAGTGCGGCATAGAAAAAAAGAGCTGTCACTTAGAAGGGTGGGATGGGGGGTGGCCAGGCAGGAACTGAATCAGCCATGTTCTGAGGAAGACAGGGAAATTGTATGGGAAAATTCAAGGGACCGCTCTGTGGCCCTCATCCCTCATTCCTCCATCTCCCAAAGGCTCCAGAAGCAGAGGTGGAGCAGCCAGCATTCCTCTGCCTTGCCCACACTCAGCCTCCCGTGTAACCTCAGCACAGCTCTGTCCTTACAACCCCCTCTTTCCTCCACACTCACCCCCACCCAGCCTGTCCCTTCCACCTGCTGCATCTCTGCAGGGTTTCTGCTTTCCTGCCATCGTTTGTGTCATTCCCCAGGGTTCCCAGCCAGCCAATGCCTTCTCTCATTTCTTGGCCGGCCCCACCCCGAGATGTCTCACCCTCACTGCCTGCTGCCTGCCTCTTCATGTATCTGTGAGCAGCTACAAGAGGCAGGCTGCTGAGAGGGTCGGGGCTTCTCCCCCATGGTTCCCTGCTGTTTCTTTGTGGCCATGCTGGCCCCTCTGGGTAAGTGAACTCTACTCAGCCCTGAGCATGTCCATCAATCCCACGGCTGCTCTCCCAGCTTTGTAGCCAGTTCCTGGCAGTGCTTCATTCTGCAGAGCTTCCTGTGTTGAGGACAAGCTGTGAACGTGGGATTCAGGAATCCGTGAATCTTCTGCAATGGCCATGTATTTGTCATTCTTTGTGCAGCCTGGAGATGGTGTCTGGATTGGACTCAAACTGCCCAGGAATGCATTTTGCCTGTTGAAGCGAGATTGGAAATTCACTTGCTGACCTGAAGAGCTGTCCAAGGACTTGAACTGTTTCCTGCCCTATGTCTTTCCACCCTTTCCCTGCCAACCCACAGTGCCTAGTTCAAACTTTTCCCATTTTTTCCTTCTCCTCACTGCTCCATCTTTCTCTTTCCAGTGTTAGCCCTGGAACAGTCTCCAGACCTGGTGATAAAAGAAGGCCAGTCCGTGAATCTGGAATGTTCCAAGAAGAAATCCAGCAGCACAGCTATGTACTGGTTCATGCTGCTTTCAGAGAAGAATTCCAGGCTGACCCAGCTGGCTTCTGCAATAGAAGGTGGTAACCCTGCAGTGGAGAAGGGTTTTGAAGGCCATTTCAAGAGCAGCAAGATCAAAGGAGACAGTATCACCCTTTCAATAGAAGAAGTCTTTCTTAATGACTCTGGCACATACTACTGTGCTGAGGGTGAGCACAGTGGTGAGACTGAAGAGGGAGCTGAGCACAAACGTCTCCCTGCACAAACAGAACCTGCTTTCCACATTGCGGGTGCTGCAGGAGCCTTCTCATTCATTAGCTCATCTTCTTGACAGCCTTGCCTTACCCCTCTTCTCAAATGCTGATAGTTTATTTGTCCATCTTTGTCTCCTTACCTCCCTCTACCTTTAACTCTTACTTGCACTACACTTAAGTTCTGTGTCAGCCCTTCTTCTCCTCTCTGTCTCCCCTCCCCACCTCCTTCTTTCCGTCTTCAATCTGCGTTCCACTGACTTCCTCTTACTGAACTTCAATCAACCCTTCTCATAATTCTCACTGTGAAACAGAACAAATGCTTGTGTTGGAGGTTCATGGTGTGCAGGTAGATAAAGGCAAGGCCAGGCAGGTGTGGAAGTAGCTCGTGCCATGTGGGAGCTGCCCCCACATTCCTTTGTTACAACGAATTCTCTGTGGTTGTTCTGTGGCTGAGGAATATGAACAACAGAGCACAAGCCTGTGCTAACTCAGGTAAAGTGTTACGTGGATCACTAATTCCTCCATGTAGAGTGGTCTCTGGGACAGGATCCACCTGCCTTCCACCCTTTGATCCACATACATTTATCTTTACAAAAATATTATAAAAATTACAAATTATGTTAGCAAGCTGAGCAGATAACAGGATTTTTCCAAGAGGTGACATTGTTTTCTGTTCATCAGTGAGTCAGGGGAAGGGGTAAAGAGTCTCATCAAGTTCACTGGTAACACCAAGTTAGGAGGAATTGCTGATGCCCCAGAGGGCTGTGCAGCTCTTCAGATGGGCCTTGACAGACAGGAGTGATGGGCAGAGAGGAACCTTCTGAAATTCAGCAAAAGACAAATGCAGGATTCTGCACCGGGGATTGAACAACCCCATGCAGAAGCACAGGCTGGTGGCTGATCCATTGGGAAGTAGTTCTTCAGGGAAGGACCTGGGGGTCCTGGTGGACACAAAGTTGTCTATGCCAACAGCAGTGGCCAAGAAGCCAATGGTACCCTGAGGTGCTTCAGGAAAAGCATTGCCAGCAGGGCGTGGGAAGTGTTCCTGCTGTTCCATTCAGCCCTGGTGAGGCACATCTGCAGTGCAGTGTCCAGTTCTGGGCTCCTTGGTACAAAATGTCCAAGGAGCTCCTGGAGAAGGTCCAGGACAGGAGAATAAAGATGATTGATCTTTCAAAGGGAAGCAGCTCTTCCCTAAACAAAGCCTGAGGGAGCTGAGACTGTTCAGTGAGAAGCAGGGCACTCTCCCAAAACTTTCTGATATCCTGGTGGCATTCCATCTCATGAAGTACTTCAGGGTTGTGTATTCTTGTCTTCTTCAATGCATTTCACTTCCCAGCTTTCTCTTCTGTCTCTCTCTCCAGGCTGGGCCCTTCAGCAGTCACCAGATACAGTTGTCCGAGTGGGAGACCCTGTGACCCTGGAATGTTCTGCATCACAGAAAAGTTTTGTAAACATGTACTGGTACAAGTTAGCCATGGAGAAGGATGCCAGTATGCAGTTGGTTGTATATTCAGTGGAAGGAGGCAAAGCAGATATTGAGAAGGAATTCCAAAATCGCTTTCAGAGTAATGGGACTAAGAACAACCACTTATTTGTGAAGATATATGTGACAGATTGGTATTTCAGAAAACAGAGAGAAACACCTAAGGAAGTTAAAACTGCTGGAGGCTGATGGGAATTTGTTTCCTGGCCAACAGCTGGCCATTTCTAAGAACTGACAGCAGTTTTAACCATTGAAAAGTGAGACCAACCTGTGAACACCACCTTAAGACCTAAGCCTGGGAATTTCTTTGTCTCTTTGTTTCCTGGCTGTGAAAAGTAACTGAGATTTAGCTGGCTTCCCGTGCCCTGGCCAGGCCATGCGGCCCGGGCAGGGGCTGGGCTGGGCCTGCCGCGGCTCCCGGCCGGGAGATGGGGCCTGCGGGGCTTGCCCCGGGCTCTGGCCGGGCCAGGCCGGTCCCTGGCTCGGCTGCAGTTTTTGCTGTGACTGAATTCACCAGAGACTGCCGAGTAAAGAAAGAAAAAAGGTCTTGACCTGTGGCCGGCTGAGACAGTGACCACACTCTCCAGAGCAGTCATGAAGAGTCTTCCATTGCAGATAGCTCCAGCTGCTGCTCCGGCAGAGATCACAGAACCATCTACAAAGCCTGGGCAAGATTTTAACCTTTTCATTTCCCAGATGAGACTTGCAGATTAATCCTTTTTTTCCAGAGAAAGAAAAAGAGAGTGATCAACATGTAAAGAGACTTTATAAACTATAAGAGACAGTAAAGAAAAGAATTAAGCTTCAGAAGAGGTAGAGAATAAGGAGATGCTTTAATTAAGCTGAAACGTTTTTCTGGTAAAGCTATGGAAATGCACAACAGTGTTCTGAAAAAACTCCTTTATTTCATGACAAAGTATATTGGGAGGAGTAGAGTGTTCAAAGTGTGGATTTTGAGCAAAAAGGTGGAGTAATTATGATACAGTGAGGTGCTGGAACAGAAGGGGAGGAATTATAGTGAAAGATTTGGGGCTGCTTGAGGCAAAGAGAAAACTTCTGTTTTCCAGGGAAGCTCACAGAGACGGATGAAAAGAACTTTTTGAGTTTGAATAACTCATCCTGAAAAATGACACCCCTAGACTCACAGCCCATAACACACCTCAGAGTGATGTGAAATGAGAGGAGAAAATCTGATGACAGATTTCCAGGCAGCTGGCATCAGAAAAATAGAAAGCTATAACAGAAATAGTTTTCTTGTGAGAAGGTCCATAGATTAGCAGAATAAGACTTCTGTTTCTCTACAGAGACTGATGAAAAGATTCTAGCAGGAATTGGGGGCTGTTTAAACACCAAAGTTCCAAAGTTTGTTGTCTCTATGTTGTCATGTAAACAAAAGAATGGTTGGGTAGTGGGGGAAAAAAGAGTTTTCTGGAAGTTTTATTTTGGTTTTCTTACTCTTGTAATTTTGTTAATAAACTTTCTTTATTCCTTTTAAGCCTGTTTTGCTCATGTTCTAATCCACATCTCACAGCAAGAAATAAGTAAGTTTTCTAGTTTTTTTTTAGTTACTGCTTTAAAACCATGACATTTATTTGGTGCATTGGCTGGGAAACGGAATTGACAAATCTAAACCACTACAATACAGCATGCCCTTTGTGCGATATATTCGGAACGGTGAAGTGACAACACAGACTCTCTAGCCTAGGTTGCACAATAGAGCAAGTTTTATTCTTCCAGATCTTATATAGACACTTCCTAGAAGGTCTGAAAAGGTAAAACTCTGATTGGTCATTAAACTAACACATCAGCATCATTGGACAGTTAGGAACAACACTCCTTGACTGCTTCTTGCAGGAAAATGAGGCAACAAACAATACCTCTAAAGATTGTTTTCCTTCTCTAAGGGCTCTTTGGATTCCTCCTTATGATTTCTCAGGCCAGAGTGAGAAAGCTGTGAGACTTAGATTCACACAGGCTCAATCTAATGCCTGAAGCCTAAATATTTATTACTTGACCACTGCCAGTTGCCACTAGCCCTACTCAATGACACAGGCACATGTTTCTGTCTGGAAAAAGATCCACAGTGACTCAAAGTCTGGTGCAGCATAGCACAAACCTTTCCAGGCAAACAGGGATCAGCCACCAGCACACACTGAGCCCTGTGTTTGACAGAACCCCGTTTTCTTCACTTGCCCTCCAGCTCTTCAGGAAAGACAAGTATACGTCTGTCAGTCTGTCCATTTGTCTGTCTTCTGCACATTTGTCTGTCTTCTGCATGGTTTCTAACTGCTTTCCTATTCTTTCCCATCTCTGAATCATGTTTTGACTCTCATTTCTTCTTGTCCTCACTGTCTCACCTCATTTCTCTGCCATTCACAGACTGTTTCTCACCTTCCTCCTTTCATATATTTCTGTTTGTCCACCTTAACTTTCCTTCTCTGCCCTCTTACAACTATTCCTTTCCTATTTCCTATTCCCTTCCTCATCCATCTCTCCTTCTGTGATATTAGTTCATGGCAGGTTGGGCAGGATGTAGAATAGTTCACACAGCCCTTTCCTTCTCTACCAGCTAGAGATGAGGCCCACAGGTCCTTGGCCCCAGTTGTCTCCAGGGAATGGGCACAGTGCTGTGTCCCAGGGGCCCCAAGTTACTACCCTGTGACCTGAACACCCTTGATGGTTATGATGTGACCCTGGTCTTGACAGTATCCAGGAGCTGCAGGCAAAGAGCCCCAGGCAGCAGCAGATACTCATGGCTACCATCACTCCCTGAGACTTTTATTCTGCCCTCCTGCAACTTTAATTTCTTGTCTTCCTTTTACTTTGTGTTCTTTTCTAGATTTTTGCCTTTTTATCTTCCTTCCTTCCTTTCTTCTTTCCTGCTTTCTTCCTTGCATTCCTCCATTTCTGTCTCCTCTTCCCACTTCCCTCCCAGCTATAAGCCCTTTCTTCTGGCACCTTTTCTGTCTTCTCTCCTCACTTCCCACCTTCCTGTCTCCTAACCTTCTTTTCTCCTTGGGATTTGGGAAACCACAGCCTCATTCTGGGACTCAGCAAACACAGAACATGATATCCCAATCAGCCTCCTGGCAAGGACCAACTCTTCAACATGGCAGATCCAAAGTCTCTATGGAATGCCCTGCCTCCTGCTGACCTCCTGGCAAAACATCACCCTCATCCCTCTTCCATTCCTCATGCAGTTGTATAAGCAGGCTCAAAGAAAGGATAACATGCTGCAGCTGCTAGTGTTCCCAGAAGAAGGGGGACAGGCAATGTTTGAGGATGCATTTCAGAATCACTTCAAGAACTGATGAAATACGGGCTATTGCTTGTAAAGAACAGAGATGATGTTCTGCCTCAGAAACAAGAGCAAATAACCGACTGAAAGACTCCTGATGATGAGTCTGCAAAGTGTTCTGAAACCCTGTCAATTGAGAGGCACTACAGATAATTAATATTTTCCCTTGAGTCATGTTCACTACTGCTGTGGTCCATATCACAGCCTGTAGAAATTCACAGATAAACAGTGCAGGATATAGGGGTGCCTGAAAGTCTTTATTAATTTTTCATAACATTTACTTGTCCAGATCCAAAAGAACAGAAATGATGATGAGAAAATACAGGTCACACCTAAAGAGCATCTCAGTTGGAGGCCATGGTGGATCGGATCCAGGAGATGTAGTTGCAAACCTTGGTGTAAACTCCGGGATGGCCCTTCTCAGCACATCCAATACCCCAGGAAACAATGCCCTGGATCTCTCCATTGCAGACCACGGGACCGCCGGAATCTTCCTGTTGGATGGATATTCAGCAAATGGCATCAGCCTAAGCAATGAGCCAGAGATGCCTGAGATCACTGTTTTGGGAGGAAGCCCTGTCAGGCATACTCTGCACAAAAGTTCTACAAAGGCTCTTTGTGATTTGCACTTTCCTCCTGATGCTGCCATGCCTGACTTGAGCTCCAAGGGCACCACTAAGGATGAGTCAGCTGCCCATTTTTACCACATTTTTACCACAGGATGTGGTACTTGGCAAACATTCAGGATATGTGTGCCCAAAGCCTCTACTGTCACTGAAAAACTCAGATGTGAGTGTACCTTTTCCTTCATCTGGGTAAAGGCAGGAGAGAAATGACTGTGAAAAGAGATGATTTACCTGGCAGGAGTCTTTTCCTCCCTCCAGGAATCCTACACACATCATGTTCCCAGAGATTTGCCCGGGGTAGGCATCGGAGCACTCGGTGGCAGAGAGGACCGGAGCGTCCAGGCACTGCAATTCGTCCGGGTACTCAACTGCAAGGAAATAGGGAGAGATGGTTGATGGCTTGCTGAGACCTTTTCAGCACTTGGAGATAATCTTAGCAGAAAAGCAAATGCTTGGCCCCCTGTTCTAGCAGCCATCCTGCATCCTCTCAACTTTAAACACAGAATGGGTTCATTCTCTAGAGATGGAATAAATTCTACCCGTGGGCCCACCCTTCTACACTGCAGTCACCTTAAATTTTCTACTCCCTGGAATTTCATCAATTGGCAAGAATGGAGCCTCTCTTGTGATATATGCACTGGAAGAAACTTGAGCCTCAGGAAAACTGTCTTCTGCTCTTGTGCAGGTATAGATTTGATCAGTGGAATAATCACCACTCGCCATGCACGTCTCTGGCCATGGGTGTAAGAGAAGGAAGTTCTCTCATAGAAATTATCGAGACACAGTCCCGGACTTCACCCTCTTCTCAGAGAATTGACAATTCTGTTGACATTATGCATGCACTGTGCAGTCCCTAGACTGACCCATTGCTCAAAACACCTGTCCCACAACACTTCCCTATGTTTTAGCCTGTCCTGTTGGGGCTTGATGGTGAGGTCTTAGAGTCTGTCCTGGGCCCCCAAGGGTCTGTACATTCCCCCAGAGTACTCACTGCCATTGCTGAGAATGTTGCCCCAGCCGGAGATCAGGCAGGTGGTGCCGGTGGCCACGCAGCTGGTAGGCAGAGGAACGGTTTGGACAGCTTTGTTGAGCTGGGCTGGGGTGGCCAGCTTGATGAGCATGATGTCACTATCTGCATTTTGGGCATTGAAGCCAGGGTGGCGGATGACTTTAGCAGAGTTGATGAACTGCTGAGTGGATTCATTGAGTTTCAAGTTGTGTTTCCCCAGCTGCACTTGGATGCGACTGGAAAAGAGAAGGCAAAGGTGTGTCTTTTACTGCTCCTGGCAGCTTGAGAGAAACCTCCCTGTCAGTGAATGCACTCGCTCCAACATCACTGCCACAGAAGCCTTCTGGGGCAGGGGATCTTTTGTGTCCTGCAGGGAGCCCTGGGGATCCACACCGAGATCTTAATCCACTCCCAGTCCAGGTGGTGAATTTCTGCAGGTTTTTAAATACATGACAGCAGTTGAATACATAGCAGCCCCCTTTCTACAAATGTTCTGGGACAAGGGAAACTCTTCTGGCCTGACCTCATTCCTCTTCCTGTTCTCCAGGGACAATGCTTTAGCAAGATTTGTGCACTTGATAAGGAATCACAGCCCAGAACTCGTTGCTTGACTATCCCATTGTTATGTCAGAAAGTGCTCTGCTTTCACAGAAACATTTGCAGAAGTGGAAAACCCCTCAGCATGCCTTGGCCCTGCTTCCTAAATGGTCCACTCATGCCTCAGCTGTCTGTGGTCAGGATGGAGGCAGTTACATATTTCCGTCTCAGAGCTCAGAATTCCTGCTAGAAGGGAACTGGAAGACAGATGGTGGTTATAGAAGGATGTAATTTTTCCACTCACTATTTGTAGCAGTGAGCAGCCGACAGGACCCACTGGCTGCTGATGAGGGAACCTCCACAGAAGTGATATCCAGAATTCAGAGACACCTGATAGGGCACAGAGTGTTCTGCACAGGTGTAGCCTCCCACAATCTTGTCATCATCATCTTCAGCAAAGGCGGGGAAGGCAACTGGGAGACAAGAAATGCCATGTGTCAATAGCTGGCCTAAGGTAATGTGGCCTGTAATCTGCCCTGTGACTGCCTGTCTGAACCCCCTCACTTGTAGGCTCCCCTTCTACAGGCACTCAGGGCAGCAGTGGTGGGCAGGTCTAAGGCTCATTCATTTGCTGCACCCTCAAAGAAGGGGATCACACCTGCTTTGGTGCCTCACATCTGTGCAGCTAAAGCCTTGCAGGCTACTCCCTGAGGGAACATAAGGACATAGAAATGTTCTTGTTGGATCGGATCACGGGCGTGTCTTTCCGAGGGTCCTGTCTATGAAACAGTCAAGGGTTGACGGAGGGAAAAGGTCAAAACAGGTGTGCAGTGCTATTTCTTGGAGCACCAACCCAGGGTCCAAAATTTTGCCATTGCTTTTTGACTTCCTGGGCCAGAACTATTCCCTGTGCACTCCTTAGTCCTGAAGAAGGAGGCAGCCGATTTCTGAAGCTATGGCCACACCTCTACAGCTGGGTCAGGAACTCCATGCCAATGAAGGTGTTCATTCCCCAGCTTGTGGCACAAGGCATTATGAACAGAGAGAAGATGGAAGTTGAAGGGCTCTGCCTTCTGCAAGTCAAAACTGGACTTGTCTTTCCCACAATAGGCTACCTTGCAGTTTTGCTCAGAAAATCATCTTCCTAATAAATGGCAGAAATAGAAAGAAAAAATATACTCACCAGCCACCCCAATAAAGGCGAGAAGCAGCAGGCACTTCATGGTCTTGGTTCAGCCTCAAGCCCAGACTGGCTGACTGGATGTGGGAGCTGCTAGAAATACAGGTTTGGTAGTGGTCTTATCTCTAGTCCAAGGTTTTCTCCAGACAAAAGTACACAGTGGAAAATTTGAAGATGCAAATGTGGGCATTATCAGGCATTGGGAGAATGTACAAATAACATTTCCGTTAATCATAAACCTCTGCTAATATAGAGAGCTATTTTAATTATTCCGTAAGGTAGCCTTCAATCTAAAAATACCTTTTGGCTTTGGAAGATGTACAGTTGTTTGTCTGTCTCATTCTTATATAGAACACCTGTTGAGAACAACTCTCAAACCTCTTTCCGATTCCTCTGTGCTGATGATATCTTTCTTAAAAATGCATATTTTTACCTGAGGTTGGATATTTTAGGTAGTGGACAGAAAGATACATTACATTTATTTGGAGAAAAAAAAAAAATCCAGCAAACCCAGTTGTTAACTTTGTTAACTTTATTTGAGCAAATTCCTTTTCTTGAATAATGTGTGTTTTCATCATATGCAACACAGTGTTTTCCTAAATCAAATTCCTCCATTGTAATTTCAAAAGTGAAGGTAGGAAAACTATCCTGTGCCCCCCACCACATCCCAAGTTAAATAGTTCCAATGTAGGAATGCTCAGCATCTCCCTTTTCTAATTTCTCTCTCCTAACGTGTGTTAAAATATCTGCCTAAGTACCAAACCATGCTTTTATTCATCCTTGGAATATTCTACAGAGACTCATTTTTGCCACACAAGAATTTCAGTATATTGGTGATGTTTATGAATGTAATGTAGATGAGCAATAATGCTGTGAACACAAATAGTGAGATCTTCTGAAATGCCTCTCTGCAGAAGTGGGGATTTCTGTCATGATGCAAAGTTTACCAAAGCTTAATGCTTTGCTGAATAATCATGTTAATTTTCCAAGCAGCTGCCAACTTCATCTTGTTAGCTCCTGAAAGCTGCAGGATGCTCTCCAGAGACAGTAAAGAGAAGCCATATGTTTGGAGATGATGGAATAGCTTGAGAGACTAAATAGGGCTACTCTTCCTCTCCATTTCTTGATTAACTTTTTTGTGGCCCCTGGAGGACTGATACACACAGTGTCACTGTCATGACAGAAATTTCCCTTCATGTTGAAGTACAAGTCCAAGGCCAGGGACTCCTCCAAGGGAGTGCATGCATTCTGTTGGCCCTTGAACTGGTATTAGCACTCAGCTTTCTTACAAGCGTGTTTTATCCTGTGAAAGAAAGAAGCTTTAGAAGCTTCCTGTGGGAAAGGAAAATGTTGGTAACAGGACTAAGAGGGTCCAAAATTAGCAAAGCTCTCCAATCCTGTTGTAACTAAGTGGAGCAAGAAAAATGTCCCATATTTTTTTTTACTATAGTGTTTAGTTTGAAATTTCTAACTTCTTTGTCCAAAACATGTCATTGGCTTAGAAGCAGACTGATGTTTTAGAACAATACTTTTCCTGACCTATAGTTCTCATATAAGGCAACCCTTAGGCTAAGACTGCTTCCCTTTCCTTCCTTTCATGGAGCTTTACATTTGGTTTAATATCCACACAAATTTCATGTGTATTAGGAAGTGAGCATTTGAATCAGGCAGCCTGACCATATCTGCCTTTATCTTGGTACTTTTTATTGTTTTTCTTTGTTACTTATTTAATCTACCCCGATCTTTAACTTCTAAGTTATTTTTAAGAGCAGGAAATTCATCCTATAGGGCTGGCTGATAATCCCCAAGAGGAACATGATCTGTGAGTTTTCCTATGCTACTTGCTTAAATCAGCAAGAGGAGACTCCTGACCTCTTCCCAGGCTACTGCTAAAACTCACAGCCAAAGATTTCTATCATCGCTCCTGTGGCTCTTGTGTCCTTAAGTCCTTGATGGCAGGTATGTTGTAAACACACCCAAGCCCCTCTCATTCTCCTAACAGCCTGTCTGACATGCCTCCTAGAGGCTCCCATGAAGCACAGAACTCCATGGTGCGTTTCCTGCCCATGAGAGAAACTGGTGTCAAATGAAGGCAAACAGTGTTTCTGATGCTGATTCAGAGGTCATCCAGCAAGTAGTCTCAGAGCAGCCCTTCAGGCCTTTCCATGAGAACTGTAGAGGATGAACAGACCCCTCTGAGTTAGAGATGGAATTAGAACACCCTCTGATGATCCTCTTTCTTTCATTAGGAGGAGAAATCCTATCTGAAACATAAATAATGCCTTCTCCGTGTTGCTGAATATCCCACAGACCCATTGAAAAGTTTTATAGTATCCTTCAAAGAATACATTCAAGGGTGTACGTCCATTGCTGTAAACAAGTTTCTCATTTCATGCAGCAATGCTGCAATAGAAAGATGGTGGCTCCAGGGTCACAGGAAGGAGGAGCAGGATTGGTGACTGAGGGCACAGCTGTGTTAGGTATTATCAATGGATAAGCAATGGCAGCTTGTTTTTCTGGAACTCCATGTTCCTGGTTCAAGTATTTTGGTCAGCTGTATCAACACTGGGCTCAGATAAAGGATATACATTTGTCCAGGCAAGATCCTGGGAAAGGGAAACCTGCTGAGACTATGGGTTGGCAGAGGTCAAGCTTCCCATGAGCATAAAACATGACATTTTTGAGCTTATATCTTTTACATCTCAGTCATGGGTTTGATCCCTGTATGAGCCATTCACTTATGAGTTGGACATAGTGGGTCCCTTCCAACTCAGAATATTCTGTATTTTTGTGATCTCACAGAGCTTCGTGATGGAGGAACAATTGATCCTCTCTTCCCAAATGTCTCCTGCCAGTGAAGTGTTCCTGCACAGGCACACTAAAGACTGGGAACATCAACTCCTTTTTTTGCTGGGGGACCAGGAGAGTGTTTTGCGAAGGGCTGTTCATCTTCTAGACTTTGCATCTGTAATCCATATACAGTGATGGTCTGCTGGCTTATGATGTTCCTGGAGTCTTCCAAATGAGGTGCAAGACTATTCACTGAGGTGTGAGGTGGAAACATTAAAACTTTAGTGTTACACGTTTCTAATTATCAGCTACTAAATATATGTATACTGGGCCCATGTGTTTAAAAGTACTTTACTGATAGGGGTGTACAATTAAGAATTTTTGGAGAACACTGTTCCAGTATTGTCAAAAATATTTCACATGGGGTTTCTTACAATTTGCTTTAACATCCAGTGTCCAACAGTGTACAATTCTGCAGAGCCTTCATGTTTTCTCTGATTTCTTCACTATCTTGCAGCTGTTCTGGTTTTTGTTAATTTTTGGGAGGGTGAAAAAGGAAAGTTATGACTTCTTTCAGAGTGCCTGAGCTCAGGAACTGGGAAGGGATTTAGGATGACTGTGGCCATAGGTACTGAGGGAATAAAAAGTAAGAAAAGAGCATGGTATTAGGAAGAAGAGTATGAAAATCCTAAAAACAGTGGTCCCACATTGAACCAGATGTGAATATAAAACCTCAGACTTTGAGACAGGAAACAGACTGTGTCCCAATAATCTTCAGCAAATGCCTCGACCAGAGAGGAAGGACCATGAAAGGACATAGCAGATGGGGGACATCAGATTTGAAAATATTTATTTAATCTCTCTCATCTAGCACATGATCTGCAAGAGAGCAGCCTGAAGAATCTTCCCTGGAGGGTCTGTGTACCCCAAGCCTATACAAACTGGGTAATTTTAACATCTCTAAACCTAGAAGCTGACTTTGCTACAAGAATATGGGATGGAGAGTTTGGGAAACAAAAAGGAAGACAAAGGAAGACTGGGGAAATTGTAAAGGTAGAAAGTAATGTAAATGTGGAAAGTCAGATGGTCTGAAAAACTTGGGGAGAAGTTTAGAGGTGGCAGCCAGCAATGCTGGCACAGTGAAATAGTATGGATGAGGAAGAGAAACTTTCACCAAACAAGCAGACAAGCTGCTTCCATTAGAAATAGAATTCGACTGGACTGGTTGGAGGTGAGAGCTGTAAAGGAGCAGCATGAGTCTGACTGGGCAAGGGATGATAAGCCTCAGGAGGAAGGATTTCTCTAATAATTGTCTGCAAAGAATTGGCCGTAGAGGACCTTCCTGTACTAGTGCAGACTACTGGGACGAGTGCAGACTACTGGCCTGAGATGCCTTAAATCCCCTAAAACTAAAGAGCCATCTGATGTTCACAGTCACCACTTGGATGCAGTCCTAGTCCAGACCTTACGCTCTAAGCCTACATGCAGGTCTAATAATGGGTTGTCAGTGCCTTCCTCTCATTGCAGCAGACATTTTTCTCTATCATTTGGGACAGGGAAGACCACCTTTGCCTGATGCTCTCTTTCATGACATTAGTTTCCAAATCCAGCACCTTGGATTCCAAACCCCTGCTAAGCCAGTAGTTTCTTTTCCCAGGTTTGTGTTAAACACTCTTCAGTCGGATTCTTTTCCTTATTCCCTTGGTTCTTTTCCATGTGGGCAGTGTACCTCAGCCCTTTCTTCATTGTCGTAACTCTTCTTAGGGAGGAGATCTGCAAAGCTCACTCTTAGGCTGGGCTGACAGAGGGGAGGTTGCCAAGCTCCAGGCCCCCTGGCCCAGCTGGCAGTAAGAATGAGAATGTCCCCCCAGTATTTATACAGGTAAATACCAAGCATACATTACATATATACACAGCTGAACACATAGATCAACACAGATGCAGCACTGAAGGCCTCATCTTCTGTCCCTCTCTGGCCAGGGTTCACAGTGGGAAATCAGGGTTCTAGACAAGGGTTCAATAGTGGAAAATATATGTACACACATGTACAGTGTGCAAGCTTTCCACAGATTTCCATGCTTAGACACTGAGCCCAGTGGCTGTCGCTGGATCCCAGTCACCACATGTGCCAGCCCTTGGTCCTCTGAGCCCCCAAATGCTGCAGCCCACCACTCCAGTCCCTTATGTGCATACACACACACACACACACACACACCTCTCACCCAGCTCCCTCTACAAAAAATGCCTGGGCCTCCCCTGCTCCCTCTGGTTGTCACCTCTCCTGGTTCTTGCCAGAGACACACACCTGGAGCCCAGGTCACCTCACTTACTTGCTAGGTAGTCTGGCTTCACGTTCGCTAGTGATCACACACATGCACCACCTCCATCTCCCCAGCTGCCAGCATGGGAAGCACAGCTCCCTGCCCCTTCCTCTTGCCCGTGGCTCTACTCCAGTGTCTGCTGCTTAAGTTCTCTGGTCTCTCCAGCTGCTGGTGCCTGCAGTCTGACTCCAATTCCTAGACCTTAGATGTCCAGACACAAAACACATGTACATAGAATAGACAGTTCCTCCCTCAGGTAAATACTTAGAAATGGAACTTCGTAAAACAGGGATTACACTGAGCTAAGGCAGTTCAAAGCATAGACAGTACAAGCATATTCACCAGCATCCTGTTCATCTGTGAGTGGCCTATTTTATAACTCCACCTTTCTTCATCTGTTCTTCCCCAAGTACAGTATTCAGGGTCTTACTTGGGAAGACTGACCATGCCTTTATCTTGGTACTTTTTCGTTTTCCCTTGTTTAATCTTTAATCTTAAAAGAAAACAGACTGAAAGAATTAGACATTTTAAACTGAAAAATGAAAGGGTTGTCAATTTAGTGACTCTACAAAAGGCAGTAATGTATTAAGCAATTCCCGAGAGACACACTAGAGGTCCTGTGTTACATCTTCCAGATACTTCCTTCCCTTGGAGAGACTGCAATAGTCTTTTGTTTCCTGAGACAGAAAAGCTAATCAGAATAAAAATCTTCATCCTGGAATGAGAAATAAATTCTAAAATAAGTGATTAGAGATGAAGGTGTAGCCCAGCTGCACTGAAATGATTTGGCCTTGTCTCAAAGTTCTTACACAGAACAACCTCAGAATTAATTCCCACAGTCTCCAGAATCTGTTTCATTTCCCATCAAGTCTCTCCCTCCAGGATTTAAGGTCTGATTACTACTGGGAAAAAAGGAAAGTGTTGAAAGGTTTAGTATGATGGACAATAATCAAACTAAAAATCCTGTACTATCTTCATCCAAAAGCCATACATTTTGGGACACTGATCAAAGCAGGAGTGTCCTTTGAAACTGTCTCAGCAGGGTCCATGGAAATATGGAAAAGTGTCCCATCCTAGAAGTAAGACAAAAGGGCAAAATGTCAAAAAAATCAAATGAAGAAAAAGTAAAATCAAAATAAACCCTCCATAAAGAGAGGTAAAGTTTGTGTGGAGTAAAAGCTAAAAATATGGATCAAAGAATAATCCATATTGAAATATAAAAGGATGTGGAAGTATATGAAATTGCTTCAAATTTACTTTGACTAACTGATGTATTGACTTTGATAACAATTCAAAGAAAAATGTAAAAGTTATGGAAAGTAATTCAAAAACCAAAAAGGACTATATCATTTACAATTCCTTGACAAGTCACTGAAACTGTAATATCTTCAGCACAGGACTCAACCTCATGACAGCACAGGAAAGGAATAATATCTCCTGAGAAAACTCAAGAACTGGCCAAACCTCTATTTCTTAGATGTGAAGTGTCCATGACACTGGAGACCATACAAAACTTTTATACATCATGTAAAATGCATTTTCATTCCTTACTGGCAAGAAGCTATAGCTTCTCAGGTAATTTCTGTTAACTCCTTTAAAAAGAAGGATTTAAAAAATGAGACAGGGAACATTAACTACACAGACTGAGATTTCCACTGCTCTGAATCCTGGAAGATCCAGGAAATAAGCCTCAAGCCCCAGGAAAGTACAATATTGCCAGGCTCATACAAAGGACATGCTTTCTATATAAATATCTAGACGCCAAGGAAAAATATAAATCTCTCTAGAGCATCAGGAAAATATGGAATAGGGGATAACAACAAAATGTGAAAAAAAGAGAAAATCTCAAAAGTTTCCCACAGCTTTTGGATGATGTAATATCAGGATTAGTGAAGGTCATCGGAATTAAATGTGTTTCATTAAAAGCACTAGGGAGAAAAGAAGCAGTTGAAATAATAATTTTATATCTTACATAGTGGCATAGGTGCTATAAATAGAACTGAATAGAATAGAATATGTTCTATATGTAGAATTGGCTGACTAGGATGTATCTGACAGGCTAGAAACAGAATATTCATAAAGTTTATGTTTAACTATGATATTCGCTTTGAGAAAAAACAGCTGGCAGAGATGTCTTGCTTTTTGTAAAAGTGAATTAGGGCTCTCAGGAAGATTATCTGCCAGGGAATATGCATCCCTGGCTGGAAAACTGAAGAAATTAAGATATGATTGAACACAATTTTTGTGCCTTTGATATCTTGAGCAATCACCTTTGCTTCTGACTAACAAGATACGAGTTGTGAGATACCATGGGATGTTTAGAACAACTCTTCAGAATGAAACAATACAGGCATACTTCTGCTGGAAATCATTCTGCAAGGATGGCCCAAGTTATATCCACTGATATAAATGGGTCAAAAAGTGAATCCACTGATCCTAGGTTCCTGTCTGACCTCCAACACCCAGACCCTCTCAGTCATGGAATGACAGTTCAGCATTCAGCTAGCAACATAATGTGGTCTGCGAGAAATTCCACATTTGTGTCAGGAGTTCAGAACACTGTCTTGTGGAAAAGCTAAAGCAGAACTTGGAGGCACGTGAATATTTAGCTTTGCTTTTACTGGCTCACTAAAGAAAGCATCAAAGCCGGACAGTCTCTTCTCTCTTCCCTGCCCAAGCTTGACAGACAGAGCAAGGGGAGGGGCATCGGTCTCTAAACTCATCTCACAGTGAGCAGGAGCACACTGTCCTGGGAGAGCTGGAGGGCCATGCTGGCTGTTGTACTTGCTCTTTTATCTGGTGAGAGACAACAGATCTGTCTGCAGCAGGGCTCTCATCCAGGCCATGCAGGGCTAGTATTGGGTGAGGACACCTCTGGCCATTAGCTGAACTCCTACTCCTCACTCTCTCTTATTATCTCTTGTTAATGCAGGTGTTGGGGTCGCACTCTACATTGAACAGTGGCCAGGCAAAATCCTTCAAAGAGCTGGAGACTCTTTGAACATCTCCTGCTACCAGAATTACAGCAACCTTGCCTATATGTTCTGGTATCAGCAGCCTCCGAAAAAAGGTTTGAAGTTAATAGTTAGTAGTACTTCATGGAGGCATAACTCTTACGAGCATGGTTACAGTGAGGCCAAGTTTGAAGTAACCAGAGAGAGCAGTTTTTACGCTCTGATGACAATCAAGAACTTGACATCCAAGGACGAAGCTACGTATTTTTGTGCTGCGAGTGAACGATAAAATCCCCACCTTCTCTGGGTGAGAGATGGAGTCTTTGAAAAATGTGAGGCTGTCAGGAGAGGGGGAGAGGAAGAGGAGAAAGAAGACTAGGTAGAAGTTGGGGCAATAGACCCAGGATGTTTTGAAGTGGAGAGAGACATATCTCTGCAGCAGCCTCTGTCTTCAAAGGCAAGGACCTTCAGACATAGAAACCCATAGATCAGAATAAAGAATTGAGGAATGGTTGGATATGGTTATGGTTAGATAAGGCAGCAGATATTTCTGATGATTAGTACTACAGAAGCAGAGTCATGTTCGATGCAACTAGTTCCTCACAGATATCCCCACTGCACCAGGAAAAAAGTACAAAGCAGACAGAGATTTCCAAGTTCTTCCACATAGTCACAATCCACACAAAACTGAGGTGCTCAATGAGAAACTGATTGGTGTGTGAGGAGAGCTCAGCCCCTGATTATGGTCTGAGGATGATGGGACCAGTAAGTGTGAAGAAAAAACATGCCCAGGGGACCAGGCATACCTCGCATTGTAGAAGAACAGTCCTTTGGCATCTTTACAAGCAACAGTGCACACTGCAGCATTTTATTCGCCTTCTTCACACACTTCTTAATTGCAGGATCCCTTTCTTCCCTGCCACAGGAATGCATACAGTTCTGAGCTGGACCCAGGCATCCCTCCCTTCAGGGCAAAACCTCATAGGCAGAGAAAAGAAACCACGAAGAGCTGCTGTTACTTGTGGTGAACAGCTGAAGGCAGAAATTTCCTCCCATTGTGATTCTGTCTTCATTGCTTACAGACTTGAACTTTTGATTAACTAATTGCTCTTATATGATGGACCTGGGAAAGCTGAAGGCAGGGTATTATTAGGGTTCCCTCACCTGCTATTGCCTGTCCATGCTTCTGTTTTTATTGCATAACTTAGGAGTTACCTTTTCTCCAAAGGAAGGCAAACAGCACATAAAAGAGTAAAAAAGTGTTTTTAAGCAAGTGTGGCTATACACCTGTGTATTTTGGGTTCTGTTTTTAGGCTGTGGCCCTGACAGTCTGCGTATGTACCACTGAGCATGAACCGATTTCTCGTGCTCATGTGGAGGGCATGGCATATGAAGCACTTAGCTATCACAGGTAGCAAATGTACGGTGCTGCTCCAGGATGTGGCAAAGCTGGATATGGATATACTGAAGTGACACACACTGTGTGATCACAGCTAAAAAAAATGAGTGGGGGGTGATAAGAATAGCTGGTAAATGCAAGCAGCAGGAATCAGCTGGGAGCATGCCCTGTAAAAGATCCTCATACTCCATGTCACCAACATTGCTGGGAGACTCCTGCAGTGCCAAGATGGATCACTCAGTTTCATGCTGGAATCCACGTCTCCTGACCAGCCACGTTACATAAACTTACCTGTGCTCTGAAAGAAAGTAAACTGTTCTGGGCTAGGGAAATCCAGATGTGTGACACCCTTGTAGCCAATATTCTCCTGACTTCAGGGACTGCTCATCAGCAAACATAATACACCACTCCTTGCTCTCAAGGAGCTCTCCTCCTCAGAACACCCTCAGTTCCATGATCTCCTCCCTGTCCATGTCAGGCCACAGACAAACATCAGGGAAACACTGGGAAAGTGTTGTTTCTCACATAGCAGAGTCATACGGAGTTCCTTTCTTTTCTCCAGCCTCTGATCTTTTTGTAGAGATCATCTTTGTAAAACATGTTCACACTGATGCTGTCTGGAATTATAGAATTATTACTGCTGATCCAAATACCCTGTGAAAGTTTCAGGAAACCTAGTTCATGGTGGAATCATGAAGGAATATAAACACTATGGTGGTCACTTTGGATTTTTTTGGAATTTGTTTGTTTGTTTGTTTGTTTGTTTGTTTAAAATTCTGTTTTAGTAAGTTACCTGTTCCTGAAAATCATGTTACAATCCTAGTTCAGACCTTTTTCATAAGCACTGCAAAGTACCTTTTCAGCTCTGGTAATACAACAAAGGAATTTAATTGATCCTTTCAATTTCTCAACTCCTGAGCATTTTTAGTTTTGAATGGCAAATGCAATTTTTAGGCCTTGTGATAAACTTATCAGTTACCTTCAACATACAGCAGTTTAATGACATGGCTATTGAGTGCTCGCAGCTGTGGAATTTCCAAACAGTAATAGGAAACCACAGAGATCTCTAGGTTCATTGCCATTGTGAATTCTGTGGTTACAGTTTCTTCTTCCAGCTCTAAGGGACATTTTTCTCCCATGCAGTACTTCTTTGGCCAGAAATTTCTCATGAAACAACTACTCTTCTTCCTGTCCCATTCCTTGTCCTCACATTTATTTTGATCATTAACCAGATTCCTCCTTCCACAGTCCTATCTTTTCAGTGAACAGACAAGCCCTTAAAAAGAAAAATGTGAGAAAAAGAGGAAAAAGGGAGAAAGAGAAAATCTCAGAAGTATCCGGCAGTTTTTGGAAGATGCAATATCAGGATTACTGAAGGTCATTTGAATTAAATGTGTTTGTTTCATTAAAAGCACTAGGGAGAAAAGAAGCAGTTGCAATAATTATTTTGTATCTTATATATTCAGAAAAGAATGGAGAGTGGCATAGGTGCTATGAATAGAATAGAATAGAATAGAATTGAATAGAATAGAATAGAATAGAATAGAATAGAATAGAATAGAATAGAATAGAATAGAATAGAATAGAATAGAATATGTTCTATATGTAGAATTGGCTGACTAGGATGTATCTGGCAGACAAAGAGTGGCAGACAAAGGCAAACAGAGTGTTCAGGAAATTTATGTTTAACTATGATATTTGCTTTGAGAAAAAAACAGCTGGCAGAGATGTCTTGCTTTTTGTAAAAGTGAATTAGAGCTCCCAGGAAGATTATCTGCCAGGGAATATGCATCCCTGGCTGGAAAACTGAAGAAATTAAGATATGATTGAACACAATTTTTGTGCCTTTGATATCTTGAGCAATCACCTTTGCTTCTGACTAACAAGATACGAGTTGTGAGATACCATGGGATGTTTAGAACAACTCTTCAGAATGAAACAATACAGGCATACTTCTGCTGGAAATCATTCTGCAAGGATGGCCCAAGTTATATCCACTGATATAAATGGGTCAAAAAGTGAATCCACTGATCCTAGGTTCCTGTCTGACCTCCAACACCCAGACCCTCTCAGTCATGGAATGACAGTTCAGCATTCAGCTAGCAACATAATGTGGTCTGCGAGAAATTCCACATTTGTGTCAGGAGTTCAGAACACTGTCTTGTGGAAAAGCTAAAGCAGAACTTGGAGGCACGTGAATATTTAGCTTTGCTTTTACTGGCTCCCCAAAGAAAGCATCAAAGCCGGACAGTCTCTTCTCTCTTCCCTGCCCAAGCTTGACAGACAGAGCAAGGGGAGGGGCATCGGTCTCTAAACTCATCTCACAGTGAGCAGGAGCACACTGTCCTGGGAGAGCTGGAGGGCCATGCTGGCTGTTGTACTTGCTCTTTTATCTGGTGAGAGACAACAGATCTGTCTGCAGCAGGGCTCTCATCCAGGCCATGCAGGGCTAGTATTGGGTGAGGACACCTCTGGCCATTAGCTGAACTCCTACTCCTCACTCTCTCTTGTTATCTCTTTTTAATGCAGGTGTTGGCGTGGAAGCCTACATTGAACAGTGGCCAGGCAAAATCCTTCAAAGAGCTGGAGACTCTTTGAACATCTCCTGCCGTAGTAACCGTGCCTATATGTTCTGGTATCAGCAGCCTCCAAGAAATGGTTTGAAGTTAATAGTCAGCAGTAGTACATGGAGTAGTAACTCTTACGAGCATGGTTACAGTGAGGCCAAGTTTGAAATAACCAGAGAGAGTAGTTTTTACGCTCTGATGACAATCAAGAACTTGACATCCAAGGACGAAGCTACGTATTTTTGTGCTGCGAGCGATCGCACGGTGTAGCAACGTGGTTGAACACTAAGATAAAATCCCCACCTTCTCTGGGTGAGAGATGGAGTCTTTGAAAAATGTGAGGCTGTCAGGAGAGGGGGAGAGGAAGAGGAGAAAGAAGACTAGGTAGAAGTTGGGGCAATAGACCCAGGATATTTGGAGGGGAGAGAGAGCAGTGAAGCAATTTGTCTTTGATTAATAATCTGTCTTCAAAGCCAAATTATTTATCAGGTCATCAGGTCCCTCCTTCCACCATCATATCTTCAGCACACTGATATGCCCTGAAGAAGAGCTGTTGCTTAACTTAATGGGGTTGTGGTCAAAAGCACTGGATGTTTATGGAAAGCTTCCTAGTGTCTCTAAAACAAATCTGTAAATCTTAGGGAGTCCTTGTAGTATGGCTTGCTTCTTCGTACTTGCTTCTTCTGTAAACTCCAAAGAATGCCGGACAGGTATAACTGATGCTATCTCTAGTTTCCTGTGAAATTCTCCCACTAAAAGGATAATTGTTAGAAAATATATCCCTAAATGTTTCCTCCTTACATATTCTTGTTTTCCCTTGTCTGAAGTCTTATGCTGCATAGCCTCCAAAGCCCAAAAACCCACCTATGAAAGACTTGGAAATGAAAATCAAGGATCTGTCTCCCCTTTGTTCTCTCACTCACATTTATTTGAATTCAAGGCTGGGAAGTCCTTTCCTTTTGACAGGTTACAAAGAGACATTAAGGTGCAACAAGACTGGTCTCTGCTGGCACGTCTTGGAAATTGTCTTTTGAACATGACCTGAGGAGCTGATAGCACCACATACTCCTTCAAAACTAATAGAGAGGTGACTTCCTTCTTTTTAAATGAAAGAGACCTCATGGAAGAGAGTCTGTAAGTGACAGTAAGGACACTAATGGAGCTCTATACTGGAGATGAGGACAGAATAATCATAAATTAATTTCAGTCCAATGGGTTAACATCCCGAATACTGTTGAGATCACAGGCAGACTAAGACCATGGCAGGAGAATAATATCCCACTATTAGTTTTATTATTTAGACAGTGACAGCCAAAAAAATCCTAAATGTATTTTCTGAAAGAATCCAATATATACAAACAAATATTCTGTATAAACAGACTTAATTAGTGACTTAAGTTCTCCATTCGCTGTTGAGAAGAGACGACAACCAAGGGACATTCCAAGATGGCTTGTCCAATACCTTCTGTTCTGTAGCTCTATCTCTTTGTCCTACATGTTACACCTTAGTCAATGTTTCTCATTCCCTTCTCTGGGACACTAACAGTTCTTCCCAGCTAAAAGGGCGTATCAGAAATTATGGGCTCTACCCTGATATCTGAAAATAATAGAAAAATTAATTTGTGATTTTTCCTAGTAGAATGACCTTGTTTTGAATATTTTGTCCTGTGCTTTACAGTCTATATTTCATATCAAGACAGACTCAAACAAAGGTATTAAAGAACAACAGGTCTACTGCAGGTACCTGGTAAGACTGTGACGTGTATGTTGTTAGACAACAACTATGTGTTGACACACTTTGAGACAAGACTGCTCCACTTACTTGTAAGGCAGGGAGATAAAATTTGCCTGTTACCTGTCCCCATCAGTTCCCATCCCTTCAGACAGTCTGCAGAATGAAGGCTTGCTCTTACTCCTAGATGAAGCCTTTTCATAGGCAGAGTCACAAGCCCTGGGAGGACACTCTCAAGCAACACCAAGCCAAAAAGACAAACACCAGCTCGTAGTAAGCAAATTGATCTCATTGCAAACCAAAAATTAAAAACTGTGAGCTTGAAGTTTGCTTGTCATGCGGGGCACAGAAGAGAGAAAGAGTAGGAAGGAAAGCATCATGAACACTGCCATGATGCTACCGAGTGAAAATTCACTGCATTTAAGGCCAACCAATAAAAGAAAAAAAAAGTGTTACCTTTTTGAGTATAAGAAAAACATCTTGAGATTATAAACTTAGGGGTAATGGATACACTGAGAGGTAATTGGACTATCACATAGAAACAGCAATGGCAAAGGAAGGATGTGGTCTGTGGTTCTGCCATGGTTCAGCCCCAGGCAGGATCAGGCCCCATGCAGGTGCTTGCTCACTCCCCACCAGCAGGACTGGGGAGAGAATTGGAAAGCACAAGTGGAAAACTCGTGGCTTGAGATAAAGACATTTAAGAGGTAAAGCAAAAACTGTGCACACAAGCAAAGCATTACAAGGAATTCATTCACCGCTTCCCATGGGCGCGCAGCTGTTCAGCCATTCCCAGGATGGCAGGGCCCCATCACACATATCAGTGACTGGGGAAGACAAACACCATCACTCCAAATGTCCCTCTCTCCCTTCTACCCCCTTCTCACCCCTTCCACACAGTGAGCAGGACGCCATGGGATATAGACCATCCCTTGGATTAGCTGGGATCAGCTGTCCCTGCTGTCCCTTCTCCCAGGCACCACCACCAGTCTCCTTGCCAGCATGGTGGTAGGAGAAGCAGAAAAGCTCTTGAATGCTGTGCAAAGCTCTGCTTGGCAATAACAAAAACACTTCTATCCTGTCAACAGCATTTGCAGAACAAGCCCAAAGCAGAACCCCCACAGTAGCTGCTGGGAAAGAAATCAGCTCTACCACAGTCCAAACCAGCGCAGGTACTCAGGGCAATCATTCCTAGTGGAACAGGGGGTGGAGTCATGGGTGGGATCGTTTTTGTACCAGGTTGTATCATTGTGGGGACAGGGGGATCCACGATGATACAGTCCCCAGGAAGCCTTTACAAAAACCCTTTGGTGCAGGAGCCTTGTGGCAGAGCGTGTTAAGGCAGCTGCAGAGGATTCTGCAGCAGAGCAGATGTGCTCTGCCTTGGTTTCACTTAACAGTCCTTGTATGCTGGGACCTACTTTCATCAGCTGGGAACTGAGCCTGCCCTCTCTGTGAAGCAAGCTAGCATATTCTGAGATATTGAAATTAATTTTCAGGGAATCAAACTGACTGTTGATGTACCTAAAGCCTATTGAGCGTGCAAAGCTGGAATTATTGTTGTTTCCTGATGCACCAATATTTGCAAGAGATGACAAACTGGTTCTTTCTTGATGTGGTGCAAGTGTTAGAATTCTGACATGTAGCAGGTGTCTCTCAGAGGCACTACATAAAATGTGTTGGGGTTCTCTGTCTTAATAAGCCTCCAGTATCTGTGGACTGCCTCATGCCTGTGAGAACAAAGGTTGCCTCTAGTCCTTCTCCCCACTGTCTCACTGGAGTTCTTCCTAATGGCCCTGAAGGGTGTGTCTGGGACCACAGAACTGATTCTTCTGGGCTCTCCTTGTGTGGATTATTTTAACTTGTCAGAAAAGTGAACGGGGTCCTGAAAGACTGTTCAAGACCGCTGGCCTCCATGGAAGGGAAAATAAAGAGTTTTGTTTTAGTTCACTGCCAAAGGTGAACCACGTGCATTTGACTATGAAAACCACAAAGCATGTATAATTTGGTTATTAACTTCAAAAACTACAGAAAAGAAGGCATCACAATGCTTGGAATACAAGACTGACAGTGAGGAAATTCTAGTTGTAGAGTTCTAGTCCCAGACAGTGACAGTCTTTGGGTGTGTTTGCTTGTTTTCGAGATGTGCAAAATGAGAATATCAGGTAAAATCAGTGACGTGATATGGAGATTGAAGAATGGTGTCAGAAACAATTTGGGGTGAAATGTATAAAATCTGGGAAATGCATCTGTGAATTCTACGGATTATACAACTGATTTCAAGATGGTTTTCTGTCAAACCCCTTTAGACAGAGATCGAGTGATGTTTGGAATTCCAAATGAATAAATTATTTCTTAGCTCCTGCTTATAGTAAGCCTGCTGCAGTGCATCCCTTCTCTTAGCTTATGATACATCTCTTTGTCACTGTGTACAACTCAGGTTTGTCTTTCGGCAGTGGCACAAAACTTACAGTAATGGGTAAGAATTTTTGGTTTTTTTCTTGTTATTCACTTCAAATGCCATGTCTTCGCTTTAGAGAATTTTATTATTATCCCCCCTTTCATTATTAAACTGTTGTTCACCTGGTGTGCTGGTAACCCAGTCTCTTCAGAGAACATAAGTTGGGTCCTCTAGGTAGTGGTACACCTTTCATTTTGGAGATCTGAATGAATGCATTTTCAGTGAAGAAAAATATGTCCCTAGAAAGAATTAGGAGAAGGAATGGATTAAAAAATGTATGCATAACATAAAAAAGTTGTCTTAATATATCAACACATGCAAAAATCCTTATTCCCTAAAAATATAGCTACTGTCGGTAACACTGGTTGTGCTGGGGCTAGAAATGATGAAGGACAACTCAGTGAAAGGCTGTCTATCTGTCTGGAAAGAACTGACTTACATTTTAAAGGGGTCTAGAAAACAAAATCAAGATGATACAAGCTCAGTAACCTGGTTCTTTCCAGTGTAAATTAAAGACTGTGTTATCTCAGATAACTGGGAAAAAACAGTGTGCTAGCATTTTTAATTTATAAAAAAGAAGGCAAAAATAAATGCTCAACTTTATAATAAGCAATACTAAAATCTCTCTGCAGCTTTTTAAGTCCTTGTTATAGTCAGTAGCTCTCCACAGCACAGCCAGTTTCTTTCCACTGAACAGACTCACCAGGATGGTGATACAAAGATCATTAAGGACAACAGTCTTACTATTTCAGAATAGGTGCTAAACAGCCACTGAAAACCACAGAAGAAGAATATATAATTCGTTTCAAAGGGAAGGAGCTCTCATGGAATGTTTCTTTCTGAGCCACATTTATGGATTTGGACTGTCCAAATCTGGGAAAACAAAGTTGCTGCTCAGATGCTAGTAAATGATGGTGATCTCTTCTTCTCCTTGTGTTGCTCCTGGAGTTTGAAGAATTGATGCCTCAGATATTTGTACCACGTTGTGCCACTACTGAATGAATTGATAACAAGTGGTAAAATCCAATCTCCATAGGAAAAAATACCGGTGATCAGAACATTTTTTGAAATCGAGAGTTTATCTGAGGTGCCTGACCTGATGAAAATGAATACACGACCCCTCATTGACCATAGTCATTTATGGAGCGAACTTGAATAATCATCACCAAGAGAGTATGCAGAATAAAAGCAGAGGCTTTCTTCCAAGGAAAGTCTTCCAGGGAAAGGGAAAAAGGGCATGTTTAGGAACTTCTACAAAGGGCGGAGAAGACCAAGACACCGTGCTAAATATTAGAAATTATTTGGCAAGTAAAAAAAAGGGATTTATTTTACAAGTGAAAAATATTAAAAATGTTGAAAAAAATAGAAGAAAATATAGTTATTTAGCTCAGAATAAGAAATGACTCAGTCTACATATGGGAAATATTTTCTAATATTCTAATATGACACCTAGATCAATAGATAAATATCCTCTAAAGAAATGGTAGAAGCTCCAACAACTGATTGAGCCTGAAGCAAAAGGTCTCTGGACAGGGTATTTCTGACATTGATCTCAGCTATTTAGACACACAGATTTGGGGCTGTTCCCTTACAAAATTGTTTTTTTAGGGGACCTGAATACTCTGTGTTTCTTCCTTTGCTGGTACCACATGAGGGGAGGGTTAGCCCACAGGCTTGGCTCAGAGATCTGGGAGTAGAGGAGAGGTTTTTCTGCAGCTGCAAAACAGTGTGAATAATGAGAAATTGTTCTTTGGCAGTGGGACAAAACTTACAGTCATAGGTAAGTAAGAAGTCAGATCTCTGTGATCTATGTGATACTGGTTATGGGGACAAGAACATTCTTAATTAAAAGCTTAATAATGATAATTTCTCATGCAGCAATGAGAACAGTATTAATGCTTTATTGGTTGCTTATTAAAATGAGATGTGCCATTATGGATGTGTAGGATTTACAGGCACAAATCTTGAAGTCCTTTGGTCTGCAGCCTTTGTCTTTCAATTCTGGGAACTTCATGAAGGGAGCAGGTAAAAAATAATTTTATTTTCCCATTCTCCAAAGAAGTCTTATAGAGATTGAAAATGAAAATGACCTGTGTAGAAGACCAGACACAAGGGGCTGCTGATCAGACATTTCTTACAGTTCTTGCTTTTACTAGTCTCCTTATTCCATTTCAAAACTGCTCATTTTCTTTTTCTGTCTTTTAGTAGTTTTATCATTCTTTCTGTCTCCCTTTTTATCTGGCTTCCTTTTCTTTTTTCTATTTTTTTTTTATTTTATTCTCTTTTTAGTGGGGTATTCTTTTCTGTGTTTAAATCTTTTCTTTTGTGTCCTGCTGTTACCATCTCTTCACTCATTAGCCTTTAAGGCTGAAGAATTTTACAGAAATAATTTTAGAACAAGAAAAAAATCATAATACCAAATGCTAGAAGGGAGAAGTAGAAGCAATCAACTTCTCTACATATCCACTAAATGGAAAGCAGAGTAGTGCTAAACTATCTAGGGAATTATCTCTATTTAATACCCAGGTCACCTGAAGTCTGTACAAGCTCATAGAGAAGCAGCCCAGGGATCTTTGCAGACCAAGCACTGCTGGTCACAATTAAGGCATCATTTGAATGCAAACATGAAGGCTTAGGGAAAAAGATCTCTGCAAGATATTAATTTCTATTAATTCTGCTGCCTGTCTTCCTCTGCAAAGGAGTGAGTGATCAGAAACAACACCTACAATTCATAGTGCCTTCATATNTGCCTCTACTCTCAGGCAATTATCTGTGTGTATTTTAATTCCAGCTTTACTGACACTAAGCACAACGTGTGGGAGATATCTCCTGTATGAATAGCTTCTTCTTTCTCATCTAAGTGATTTGTATGTGATATTAAAAATGTAAAAGCAAAAAAGGAAGAGAAATTTTTTGGAGGGTTCTTTGTGCATGTTATATGTAGCTCTGCTTCGGACTTTCGCTCTCCCATATGATTCCATTTTGAAAATAGAAGAAATCATGGTACCTTCCTGTAGATTAGAACTTATTCTTTATCATTTCCTCCAGTCTTAGAAACTGACCTCCAATGGGAATATTCTTGCTCAGCCAGGAAAGAAATGATCCATACTTATCCAAGTGATTCTGTCATCAGGGTTCAGGATATGATATTTCTTAGTGTCAAGTTTCCCTTCCCGAGTCACATTCCCTTCTACACTGCTGTCATATGTGGAGGATACCCATATTAAAAATTGCATTTCTTTTCTCTTTGTATACATATTTGCACACTCTTGTTTTTCAACAACATCTTTAATGCTTGTGGAATCTTAAGGCTGAGCCAAGACAGAGCTGGTATCTCAGTACTATGACCACCCCTTAAGAGTGAAAAATCTACAAGAATAAAACTTGTAGAAGCCATGTTATTCTGACTTTCCTGATACATCAGCAGCACTCATAAGGCCACTGACAATAATGAGACAAAATAAAAAATGTGCATCTTGTGATTCAGCCTATTCTGCATTCCTAACAGGAGATTTGGATGAACAGCTCAGTTCATCAGTAGATGTGGCAACTCAGCACTTTCCTGGCATGAAGGCAATCTCTTTCTTTCCTAGACTTGCTTTCTCTTTTGGTTCTTTGAGTCACTATGGTCTGTCACATTCCGTGTTTTCTGGTGTCAACTGAGCCACTCATTTGGCTCTAGTTCCTTTCTGTGTCTTAGCTAAAGATTTCAAGGGTTCTCATTTGATGACAGCTCCATTAGAACCAGCATCTCATGGTGGTGGTGGTGGTGGTGATGATGATGATGATGATGATGATGCAGATTGAATACAGAAATGGTGTTTGACTTGCAGAGTCGTACTTGCGGTATGGAAATTCTCTGAAGCTCACTTACCTCATCCTCTGTGGCAAAGCCTTGGTCTATGCAGTTTTGGTGAGTGGTCTGGTGTGGACAGCCAAGGTAAGTCCAGGTGCCCCTGGAAGGCTGGGCTTACTCACTAGTCAAGGATCAGTGCATGCAGACTAAACCTGTTCTCAGAGGTGTGGCTGTTCTGCAGGTGCTCTGCCAGGCTTTGTGCAGTCCTGCTTGAAAAATCACAAGTGATGGGTTTTCTATTGCTGTCTTTCTAGAACTCAAATAAAATCAATGCTATCTAGCAGAGGAATCCCTTCTCACAATCCTCTCTGAGCACATGGAAAAGATGAGAATTAAGGACAAGTTGCCCAGAAAGGAAATAAGGGAAATATCAGATATATCATGCATTTGTGTAGCCACTGTAAAACGGCTTGTGCCTGCAGTGAAAGTCATAAGCAGGGTTTTGGAGGCGACGTAGGGCATAAATCTGATCAATCGTTTGCAGAGATTTACAAAGAACAGTGGGAATGAATCTGTGCAAATGGGATGAATTGAACTAACTGCCAGGAAATGTATTTTAGTAGTAAGTTTTTCCTGTGGCTGCAAGATACACCCAGCAAGGCCTTGGTAAAACATCTCTGTTTTTCTTCTAAGTCCCCCCTGCCATGTATTGAAAGGCCTCAGGCAGGCCTCTCCAGAGGCTTCTCTTCTCCAGTGTGAAGATGGGTTTGTCTCTGAGCCTTTCTTCATACCCTGAAGCCCTGTGATTGTTTTTTGGGGGCTCCTCTGGGCCTGCTCTCCCACATCCGTGTGTTTCTTGTGCTGGGCCCCCCGAGCTGGACACAGAACTGCAGGGGCGGCTGGTGGGGGTCACAGGGGCCCACTCTCTCAGTCTGTCCAGGTGCCTCTGGATGGCATCCCTTCCCTCAAACACATCAATGGCCACACAGCTTCCTGTCACCTGTGAACGTGCTGAGGGTGCACTTGAGCCCAGTATCAATGACACACTGATGAAAGCTGGAACAAGGCTTCTGGTCCCAGTGCAGAGCCCTGAGGGAAATGGTTTGTGACCGGTCACCACTTGAACATTCAACCATTGATGGTAGCTCTTTGGGCAAGGTCATCCAGCAATTCCTGTGTTTGTTTCTGTCCTTCGGTGCTTCTTGTTGTTATCACTGTCATTATTATTTTATTGTTCTTATGGTTTTATTCCATTTTGTTTTCAATCAGAATAGTGTCAAGTTATCTAGAGAATAAATGAAGAGCCCTTGCCATCACATCAGCAGGAACACGACACCTTCTCAACCTTTCCATTGCAAAGTATCTCTGCTTCTAAGAATTTCTGAACACAATATTTTGTGCTTGTCTGTTGCCATCCTGTTCTTCACTTTGTTGTAATCACTGCTGAGCTTTCCCTGTACTTCCATATGGTATTGTAACATACCTTTAAAACTAGCACCTTCTTAATGCTCAGAGGCTGAGAACTCATCTCCTTGATTTAGGAATAAAGTTTTCACTTTCTTTCCCTTGAAAAAGCATGATTTGTTGTGTTTAAATTTGATCCTCTGTAGCAATGATGTCTTACCACACAACTTTCAGTGATGAATAGTGCCATAAGCAACTCTCATTAAAGATCATTCACTGACGATCCCTGTAGAAATAACTTACTCTTTATGGGAACAGTAGAGTCTTATCCAGTACTTACACCGTGTACCAACAAGCGGAGCAGGGCTGCAGCCTTTGGAGCCTTGCCCTCACCAGGGGCTGATTATGAGCCAAATCAGCTGCAGAATTCAAAGGTGGCAGAGAAGGAATCAGCACTCCAGCCAGATGAGAAGTGGCACTGTCTGGGGAGAGGCATGGGAGCTGCTTTTACTTTTGCTCTGTTCTTCCATGGGATTACCCTGGCGATGACACCAGACTCACGTGGTGGTGGTAGTGAAGGAGAAAACCTTGGTGAATAGGTTAAAAGTCACCTGACACTTAATGTGTTTGTTTCAAAAGGATCTGATGACAGGCTTGAGAGGAATCTGTCCCATCTCTTGTAATGTTATTAAAGAAGAAAAGCTCTATCTAAGGGCTAGAGGACAGGTGAATATAATGCTGTGAAGTGGGGCTGTTTTTCCTGCTCTGTGCTTGTCACTCCTTTAATCTCCCCAAAACACTTCAAAACAGGAGAAAATATCTCATGAACCAAGAGATTCATGTGGTGTTCTGGGTACAGAAATTGCTTCAGTAGTCTTGTGGCTGCTGCAAACAAAATAGAGAACTGTTTCCTGAAAAATGCTTTTTACATTAGTGCTTCAAGGGGTCTTACATTCCCAAGATTTGAACAACCTGGTCTAGGGAATGGTGTGGGAACCGTGAGAATGTAGTAGAAAGGGATGCATTTCAGGGAGTGTGGCAGAGATAAACAAAGAGAGACATCTTTCCAATCTGGTGATGGGTTCTATCCCCAGTATGCCTCATTATTCATGCTCTATGAAGTTAGAATAGACTGGAGCACAGCAGAATGGAATATTAAGAAAAAATTCCAGCTCAGTCTGAAACACATTAAGATGAATATAATTTATTAGGGCATTTGGCAATAATGGCTGCATTTATCAGGGCTGTCAGAAAAACCCCCAGATCACTCTTGTCCTCACAGGCACAGACTTTCAGAGTGTTCATGGCAGGACTTAGTCAAAGTGAACAGAGAGCAAACTTGGGCATAGGCATTTTGGAGCTTGCAAGCTACAGTGTGAAGGAAGAACACAACACAGTGGTTCTGTGACAGAAAGAATTTGGCAAATGACAGAGACTTCCTTTTTAGACTCTGGAAGCACTGAATTCATATCTCTCTGTCTCTGGAAATTGAGACCAAGGTCAGGAATCCCATCCTGTTCTTTTCCTAGCCTGCTGCAAGCCATGTAATTCTCATTCCCACAAACTCCAGCTACTATACAGGTGATTGTGCAAAGAGAGCACTTTAAAAGAGAGACAGATACATATCCAGGCTTGTATAATATCTCCTTTTCTTTCCCTTTTGGAATGAAGTATGTTTAAAGGAAATGCTTTTATCTGTCAAGCTCTTTTTCAAGAGTGTTTTGGACAGAGGATGTTCGTGATGGGGCTGATGCTGAGATCCAAGAAGAGAAGCACAATTTGGGTCTGCAGAATTCTTTTTATTTCTCATTCTGGCCATACAGGAGACCACACTGGACAAAGTGATGTCTTCAGAGTGATATTTATCTAAGTCCACTTCTCTACAATTACACCATGTCTTTTATAATTTTCAAGAGAACCAGCTAGTGAGAATGAAGGGGAGGGTTTTAGGCAAAAAGAGGGGAAAAATTCCAGGGATATACTGCATAAGACAATCAATGAAGTATGATTCAATTGTGTTGACCTCTTAAAGGAAAGAGTAAAATGGAAGATTAGGGAGAGTAAGAAAGTAAGAAAATAAAGACTAAGAGAAGCAAACCAAGAATGAAAATAAAGACACACGTTAGAGATAGGGTAGAAAGAATACAAGTGAGAGATAGGGAAGAGAATCTAATCCGTACTGGAGGAGAAGCAAAGGGAATCAGGTTATGTTTCTGTAAAACTGTGGTTGTGGGGACCTTTTCTGTGCACCATGAACTATAAACCCAAGGGATTAGTAAATGTAGAGAGCCTTTCTGGAGTTCTTTCATCCACTTTGCATCCCATTCTTACCTCACACCAAAGCTAAGGTATGGTTAATTCAGTGGAAACTCGCTATGGACTAAATGAAGAACAGTCATTCATTTTATGTATAAATGTTTTCTGAATAGATATAGGAATAACACAGAATAAGGTAGAGGAACAACAGTGTAAACTTGGATGCAGAAGATCAGGGATATCTGAAATAAACAGAAAATAATTTGTGATTTTCCTACTAGCATGACCTTGTGTTGGAGGATTTTTTCTTGTGCTTTACAGTCTATTTTTCATATCAAGAAGACTCAAATGTAGCCATTAAAGGGCAGTATGAAAAGCATGTTTACTGCAGGTACCTGGTTATGTTAGCAACTATGTGTTGACACACTTTTGAGACAAGACTGCTCCACTTACTTGTAAGGCAGGGAGATAAAGTTTTCCTGTTACCTGTCCCCATCAGTTCCCATCCCTTCAGACAGTCTGCAGAATGAAGGCTTGCTCTTACTCCTAGATGAAGCCTTTTCATAGGCAGAGTCACAAGCCCTGGGAGGACACTCTCAAGCAACACCAAGCCAAAAAGACAAACACCAGCTCGTAGTAAGCAAATTGATCTCATTGCAAACCAAAAATTAAAAACTGTGAGCTTGAAGTTTGCTTGTCATGCAGGACACAGAAGAGAAAAAGAGTAGGAAGGAAAGCATCATGAACACTGCCATGATGCTACCGAGTGAAAATTCACTGCATTTAAGGCCAACCAATAAAAGAAAAAAAAAGTGTTACCTTTTTGAGTATAAGAAAAACATCTTGAGATTATAAACTTAGGGGTAATGGATACACTGAGAGGTAATTGGACTATCACATAGAAACAGCAATGGCAAAGGAAGGATGTGGTCTGTGGTTCTGCCATGGTTCAGCCCCAGGCAGGATCAGGCCCCATGCAGGTGCTTGCTCACTCCCCACCAGCAGGACTGGGGAGAGAATTGGAAAGCACAAGTGGAAAACTCGTGGCTTGAGATAAAGACATTTAAGAGGTAAAGCAAAAACTGTGCACACAAGCAAAGCATTACAAGGAATTCATTCACCGCTTCCCATGGGCGTGCAGCTGTTCAGCCATTCCCAGGATGGCAGGGCCCCATCACACATATCAGTGACTGGGGAAGACAAACACCATCACTCCAAATGTCCCTCTCTCCCTTCTACCCCCTTCTCACCCCTTCCACACAGTGAGCAGGACGCCATGGGATATAGACCATCCCTTGGATTAGCTGGGATCAGCTGTCCCTGCTGTCCCTTCTCCCAGGCACCACCACCAGTCTCCTTGCCAGCATGGTGGTAGGAGAAGCAGAAAAGCTCTTGAATGCTGTGCAATCTCTGCTTGGCAATAACAAAAACACTTCTATCCTGTCAACAGCATTTGCAGAACAAGCCCAAAGCAGAACCCCCACAGTAGCTGCTGGGAAAGAAATAAGCTCTACCACAGTCCAAACCAGCGCAGGTACTCAGGGCAATCATTCCTAGTGGAACAGGGGGTGGAGTCATGGGTGGGATCGTTTTTGTACCAGGTTGTATCATTGTGGGGACAGGGTGGTCCACGATGATACATTCCCCAGGAAGCCTTTACAAAAACCCTTTGGTGCAGGAGCCTTGTGGCAGAGCGTGTTAAGGCAGCTGCAGAGGATTCTGCAGCAGAGCAGATGTGCTCTGCCTTGGTTTCACTTAACAGTCCTTGTATGCTGGGACCTACTTTCATCAGCTGGGAACTGAGCCTGCCCTCTCTGTGAAGCAAACTAGCATATTCTGAGATATTGAAATTAATTTTCAGGGAATCAAACTGACTGTTGATGTACCTAAAGCCTATTGAGCGTGCAAAGCTGGAATTATTGTTGTTTCCTGATGCACCAATATTTGCAAGAGATGACAAACTGGTTCTTTCTTCATGTGGTGCAAGTGTTAGAATTCTGACATGTAGCAGGTGTCTCTCAGAGGCACTACATAAAATGTGTTGGGGTTCTCTGTCTTAATAAGCCTCCAGTATCTGTGGACTGCCTCATGCCTGTGAGAACAAAGGTTGCCTCTAGTCCTTCTCCCCACTGTCTCACTGGAGTTCTTCCTAATGGCCCTGAATGGTGTGTCTGGGACCACAGAACTGATTCTTCTGGGCTCTCCTTGTGTGGATTATTTTAACTTGTCAGAAAAGAGAACAGGATCCTGAAAGACTATTCAAGACCGCTGGCCTCCATGGAAGGGAAAATAAAGAGATTTGTTTTAGTTCACTCCCAACGGTCCACAGCCACCTCAGACAGAGAATGGGTCACGTTTGGGGTTCCAAAACCAGTAATGTTTTCTTAAGGTTGTGCTTATAGTAAGCCTGCTGCAGTGCATCCCTTTTCTTAGCTTATGATACATCCCTTTGTCACTGTGAAAAGTGCAGATATGATTTTCGGCAGTGGCACAAAACTTACAGTAATGGGTAAGATATTTTTTTTCCTCTTTTAATTCACTTCAAATGCAATGTCTTCTCTGTAGAGAGCATCATCTTTATTATCCTCCACTTTATTATTAAACTGGTGTTCTCCAGCTGTGCTGGTAATCCAGTCCACTTTGGAGAATAAGTTTAGTAGTCTTGGCAAGAACACACCTTTCATTTGAGGAACTGAATAAATGCATTTTTACTTAAGTAAAAGCTGTCCACAGAAAGAATTAGGATAAGGAATGGGATAAATAATGTGTGCATGACATTAAAAAAAAGTTGTCCTAATGAATTGACACATGCAGAAATTCCCCTAAAGTATATCTAGTCTGTATTATGCTGGTTCTCCTGGGGCTAGAAATGATGAAGGACAAGTCAGTGAAAGGCTGTCTATCTGTCTGGAAAGAACTGACAAGCCTTGAAGGGGTCTATGAAACAAAATCAAGATGATACAAGCTTAAATTTCCTTGGATCTTCCCAGGGTGAATTAAAGAATATGTTATCTCAGATAACTGGGAAAAAAAGTGTACTAGCATTTTTAATTATTAAAAAAAAGGCTAATAAATACTCAACGATATCATAAGCAACACTAAAATCTCTCTGCAGCTGTTTAAGTCCTTTTTGTTGTAGAAAGTAGCTCTCCACAGCACAGCCAGTCTTTCCACTGAACAGGCTCACCAGGATGGTGATACAAAGGTCACAAAGGTCACAAAGGACAACAGTCTTACTATTTCAGAATAGGCACTAAATAGCCACTGAAAACCACAAAAGAATAATATATAATTGATTTCAAAATGGAAAGAGATCACAGGGAATGTTGGCATTTAGGAAATATTTTCTAATATTCTAATATGACACCTAGATCAATAGATAAATATCCTCTAAAGAAATGGTAGAAGCTCCAACAACTGATTGAGCCTGAAGCAAAAGGGCTTGGACAGGGCATTTCTGACGTTGATCTCAGCTATTTAGACACACAGATTTGGGGCTGTTCCCTTACAAATTTGTTTTCTAGGAGACCTGAGATAAATGTACTCTGTGTCTCTTCTTTTGCTCTCCACATGAGGGGAGGGTTAGCCCACAGGCTTGGCTCAGAGATCTGGGAGTAGAGGAGAGGTTTTTCTGCAGCTGCAAAACAGTGTGAATAATGATAGACTGTTCTTTGGCAGTGGGACAAAACTTACAGTCATAGGTAAGTAAGAAGTCAGATCTCTGTGATCTATATGATACTGGTTATGGGGACAAGAATTAATTAAAAGCTTAATAATGATAATTTTTCATGCAGCAATGAGAACAGGATTAATGCTTTATTGGTTGCTTATTAAAATGAGTGTAGGATTTACAGGCACAAATCTTGAAGTCCTTTGGTCTGCAGCCTTTGTCTTTCAATTCTGGGAACTTCATGAAGGGAGCAGGTAAAAAATAATTTTATTTTCCCATTCTCCAAAGAAGTATTATAGAGATTGAAAATGAAAATGACCTGTGTAGAAGACCAGACACAAGGGGCTGCTGATCAGACATTTCTTACAGTTCTTGCTTTTACTAGTCTCCTTATTCCATTTCAAAACTGCTCATTTTCTTTTTCTGTCTTTTAGTAGTTTTATCATTCTTTCTGTCTCCCTTTTTATCTGGCTTCCTTTTCTTTTTTCTATTTTTTTTTTATTTTATTCTCTTTTTAGTGGGGTATTCTTTTCTGTGTTTAAATCTTTTCTTTTGTGTCCGGCTGTTACCATCTCTTCACTCATTAGCCTTTAAGGCTGAAGAATTTTACAGAAATAATTTTAGAACAAGAAAAAAATCATAATACCAAATGCTAGAAGGGAGAAGTAGAAGCAATCAACTTCTCTACATATCCACTAAATGGAAAGCAGAGTAGTGCTAAACTATCTAGGGAATTATCTCTATTTAATACCCAGGTCACCTGAAGTCTGTACAAGCTCATAGAGAAGCAGCCCAGGGATCTTTGCAGACCAAGCACTGCTGGTCACAATTAAGGCATCATTTGAATGCAAACATGAAGGCTTAGGGAAAAAGATCTCTGCAAGATATTAATTTCTATTAATTCTGCTGCCTGTCTTCCTCTGCAAAGGAGTGAGTGATCAGAAACAACACCTACAATTCATAGTGCCTTCATATAAAAAAACAACCCAAAGTAATAATTTTCTCTTTGGCTTCATACTTTTCTGTGCATTTCTTTTTCCAGCAGCACTCTACAGATCCCACGGGTTTCTCATGCTAGATGAGTAAAAAAGGGACTCTAGTATAGTGTATGGAAAACTCCCTGGCTTTTGGGGTCACTGCCTGGCTTCTGAGTAACTTCTCATGGCTGCCTTGTGCATCCTTTTGACTGAAGTCTGTTCTCATTGGTCTTACAAGCAGGTATTAAACACTTTAGGACAGGGAACAACCTTTGATTTGTGAGTGTATAGAACCTTGCATCATTTTGGGAAGATGTATAGCCTAGGCTCAGAGCTTCTCACAGCTACAATAACCTAAACATTAAATTACATAAAGACATGTTTAATGTTCTTAAAGATGGATAGGTTAAGGCACAAGGCAAAACCTGTCCCTGGCAGATTCATGTTACCCACCTCAAATGTTCTTCAGACTGTGAGAAGGATCAGCTCCTTCCTTGCTTCCCTGCAGGTCTTCTCTTCCATAGGGAGCCAAGTAGGGTGCCCCATGAGAGTATAATTCTGAACACTGCAATGACCATGGTGCCTTAACTCCATCTCCATGTCATGCAGATGTACATCTCTGAATGTAATTCAGTTTGTTGAAGATGTTTGTGCCTTATCTATTAATACAATATTACAACTACAGACTTTACAGCAAAACTGGGGAACATTGCAGACCGCCAGTTTGCTCATCAGCTTCGTTGCAGCTTTGTGTTCTTCAGCCAGAGGCAATACAAGAAATTCATGTGCTTGTGCATTTCTGTGGGCAGACCTTTCTGTGTTTCTGTGTAACAAGTGGGAACAAATGCTTCCACTTTCCTGGTGTGTCATATCCAAGAGACATTAATTGTTCAGCTGTTAAAAGGCCAGGGATTTCAGGAGTAACACGG